ATACTGATTTGCTTTTACTCAGAGTGGGCACCCTTGAGAACTCCAAGCAACTGAGAAGGACTTTGACTTTGTTTACACTCTATGACAACTTTGAGGACGAATCAATGTCTCAAAACTTTCAACCAGAACTATGTGCACATCGATTTTCATCACTATTTGTTGAAAACTTCCAGTAATTTTCTATGACTTTTAAAATCAGTCCTCAATTCTTAGCTTGATTCTAAACAATATCTGCTTTCTGTTTCTTTCCATGAATGTTTATATTAATTTTCTTCAGCTCCCCTATAAAAATATGAAGAAAATTGTCATCATAGACTAAATGGCTGATGTCTTGAAATCACATCCTTACCAATGTATTATGATCCAGTAAGTCTCTTCCTCCCTGGAAAACCTTCATCCTTCACAATTATCCAGTGACCTATTTTCATCACAATATCTTCCAATTTTACCAAGAATTTTATTTCTCTGAATAATTCCTAACCCATATCATTTAAAAGCAATCTCTTCTTCCTAAGTTCCAACTCTTAACACCATAAAGAAGGCTCTGCCTGATGGCTATCTAAAAGGATTTTGATATTCTTTTTCAATTTCTTGGTATCTGACCTGCCTTTTTATACAGTCCTGGGCCTCATTAAAACTGAGGTAAAAGAGGATATTCCGGAATAGAGACTCTAACCCAAAGTTCCTTTCCATATAGGCTGTGATATGGGACCTTCAAATGCTTTAGAGAAAAACAGATGCTCACTTTGGATTTCTTTCTCTTTGAAAATTTTCCAAGCAAGGTTATTGTAAAAATGGAAAATTGGGCTTTGAACTTTCTTGGCCAAAAATAAAAAGAAGTTAAGATTACTCCTAATTGTCTTATTTGGGGACAGATTATTTTTCTTTTTGGGGAACTACACCCAGTGGTGCTCAAGGATTCTGGCTCTGTGCTCAGGGATCACTCCTGGTGGACCTTATGGTCCCCTATCATTCAAGGAACCATATGGGATACCAGGCACTAAACCTGCATAGGCTGCATGCAAGGCAAGCACCCTTTCTACTGTACTATCTCTGCAGCCTTACTCGGGGAGGGGAGGAACTATTAAAAAAATAACAAGTAATATTACATGGGCAACAACCACCAAAAAAATAAAACCAAACAACCAAAACTCCACTTAGACAACCAATATGGTCATGCTGTACAAACTCTCAAAAAATTATTATTACAGCAATTTCATGAGTAAATTCAAAGAGCCACTTTACCTCCTTGATCAATCATGAGATTAAAATGTTATAAAAAGTAAAAGTAAAAACGTGAAACATTTGAGTGGGGAGTTGGAGAGAGAAATGTTATTTACTAGGTGAGTTCAAGGGAATTCTCTTTTGTTTTTTAAAGAGGATGGATGAGCCCAGAGCTTATAAGTGAAAGCCCTTTCAAGGGCTGTTGTGATTGGTGATTTAACCATTCTTCCAAAAGCATCAACTAGGAACAGAATTGAAAATAGACCATAGGGACAGAAAAGAAAGGAGATAAATTCTTCATTGAATCTCTATTTCCAATTTGAATGGTTTTACTTACTATCCTATGAATAAGATGAGCCAATATCCCAGTGAATTGATTTAGTATTCTTTAATTCCATTTTCCTATCTTTCCCCCTTTGTCTCTTCCTTACTAACTCCCTAACCTGAAGCTTTCTTTGACAAAAAAAATTATTAATAAAAATAAGATTTATGAATTTAATTATCAAATAGATAGCACACTGAAAAGAAAATATCATATTAAGTTCGATTCCTCCGCCCCTCTCGGAGAGCCCAGCAAGCTACCGAGAGTATTCGATATGCCAAACACAGTAACAACAAAGTCTCCAATGGAGACGTTACTGGGCCCGCTCCAGCAAATCGACGATCAACGGGAGGGTAGCAAATCATATTAATAGAACATAGGAAATGAAATAATAAGTCAGAGAAATTGCTTCTTAAAACCTGGGCTCATGTGTAGAAAAAAATCATGTAGGTACAGAAATTGGGGATCTGGACCTCTAAATACTGAAAATTGGAGATATGACACAAAAGGATTAACTGAAACTGGTCTTGAACTAAGAAAAAAAGGGGAGAAAGTGAGGAGTTTCAGAAAAATACAGAGAAGCGTGCACAAATCCAATCAACTGTGGTTTACATAAATTTGAAATTTTAGAATTGTGATTTAAACCTAAAGAGATTCCAACTTATTAATTATTGAAGTGAACTTGACTGATACATATGCAGAGCAGAAACGTACACTGTGTTCAAGAATCCTGTTTGGGTGACATAGCATGAAAGACCATGAGTTTAGAACTGGACAAGATTGTTTCCAAGGGCCTGACTGTTCCCATGCTCCCACTCTAATTTGTGTCATGTCCTCTCAGATCTGATAGGGGCCTCTGAGTAAATTAAATGAATCACTCTCATTTTTCAAATGAGGTCACTAACACAGTGAATTTAAAGAACATTTCCAAAGTACATAACTCGTTATTTGCAGATGTAGCTCTTGAACCCTAATACTAACAATAGAACAATGTTGGACTTTTCCATCATTCAGTAGGAAAATCCAACACTAGCCAAACAGTTGTAATTCCATGTTTATTTAATGTCTTCTCCTTAAATTCTGTAGAAAGCACACCAAAAGATATTGCAACATTTGGGAAAAGCTTCTGGGGGTTTCTCTACATGCCTTATCACAATAACTTTTAATGTATTCTATATTGGTTCAAAGTGAACTTTTAAAATAGAAAATTGCTCAGACAAAAGTAAATGCTTTATTAATGAGAAATATGATGGTAGTGGTGATGGCTTTATAAATAGCTGTGTTCTGCTTTTCTGAGTCTTACTCTGAAAGCACTCAAGAAGCAGTTTGGGAAAATGGTTTTTTTAGAACATTAAATTGGTATGGGATATCAAAATGTCATGATACAAACTATGCCAATGATGGTCAACATTGATCTATGCTGAACTTAGACAGAAAGATAGATCTGTCACATTGGGTTGGAAAGGGAATTTCTCAGGGTCTATGAGCTTAAAGAACAGAAACAAGTCAAGAAGCTTTGACATTCTCTTACATCTGTTGATGATCTTACAAATTTTATTTGTTTCCATTTAGTCTCCAGTTTTGCCAAGAGGCCTCCAATCGGTCACTGTAGCTACTGACTTAATTTTTTTGGCCAAGAGAAATTTATTGCAAAAACAAACTACCATGAGTTCTTAAATTAGAAGAAGACCTATTCCTGACAATTAGAGAGTTTTTTTTTTATGAGGACACCTTTCTCTATAGGAATCTATCTTAGACATGGTTAAAAACAAAAGTTTGATTCAAATTTCTAATTATCATGGACAAAGAGTTTGTACTTCTGCTTCCAGTATGCCTTGGCAAGTCAAAATAGGGAAAAAAAATGGAGAAAACCAGGCAAAGGTGTTGAACACTGTGTCTAAGTTCCTTTAACAGAAGAGCATTTAGGTGGCTAACATCGCCTGCCAGTGGAGACCAAGAGATAATGACAAATCTATAAATGGTCATCAGAAACAAGGATGAAGAAAAGCACACTAAATTTCATGAAGGAAAGAAGAGTGTGGATTCGTGTGAAAGTGCTAAGGTCATCCCAATGCAAAACCATGATAAAGAAGAAGCCTGGGCTTTCTGTTCAGTCCTCACAAATCCATTTCACTTCAGCTGGAAACCAGGAAATGTTTCAAAGCCTGAATACAGACTGCTGACATCATTTTAGTCTGCTGAGTAGACTAGTGATTGGTTATAAGTAGTTTTTTAACAATCCAATTGGACATACATTATATTCACAATACTTTTATAGGACTAATTCTACAAAATGTGACAACAGGATACCACAGTCTGACAAGTCACTTCAGGACGGCGCCTACAAGGTGGAAGCACAACTACATTGGCTCTGCAGGGAGTGGGCAGTTGAAAGCTCTTTTCGCCTACATTTGTAATTGGAGTACTTGGTGAACACGATTCCGGGGTGATTTCTGTATTTGGCTCTGATCTGATTTGCACTAACACACTAGTTACCACAGGGCCTTATCCTAAAAAACCAATGGACTATATGTCATGGGACTTTGTGGAGCTACTTTAGTTAGTTTGGTTTCTTCAAGTGTTCACAATTTACATTTTTAAGGAAGTGAAAATCACTATCACATCCATGCTTTCCCAGAGACCTTAAATGATAGTATCAGTGATTGATAAATTTGAAGTTGAAAGACTTGCTAAATCATTTGGAGAATAACAGTTACCGGGACGATGGTACACTCAGCATGCAAGTGACAGTGGAGCTCTTAGACTTTATGATTGTGTCTGGTGTCTAGAAAAATCTCTTGACCATAGTTTGTGACCAATTCATTTCATTTCATTGCTGGTAGTTTTCAAAGGACTTTTCTAACAGCCTGTAGTAAGTGCATGTGTTGCTTTTGTTATGCTGTTTACATTGTTGTTTATGTTATGCCCTTACATTGTTATATCAGGTTTATGTGTTTTGTCCCAGCAACTAAGGGATAGCCTGCAGAATGAAAATCTGGGCAAAAATCACTGCCTTGGGAATGTCTGGCTTTGAAATAAAATTAGTAAAAGGAATGTATTGTCAGATCTTATGGTTTAGTGAAATTATTTCATTGGTGCTTACAAATTTTCAAGCTGAAAGTTCTGAGATTTGGGGAGTGGGAAGAAAACCCACCAGACCCTACCAATGCTGAAATTCCTCTCTAGGGTGGTTTGGAGTGGTGAAATGGGAAGCAAAGCAGCATGGAGGTGTCCCCACCTCACAACAACAAACAGAGCCATGTCTGTGTGCATCAGGCACTCAAATTCCATCTCCCAACTGTGTTCACAATCTTTCCAGCTCGAATGAGCTGATCTGGTAAACCTGACCTGGCAATTGTAGAAAAGTTGCAAGAAAGGTCTTCCCTTTAACTCTATGACCAAAGGGATGAGAAATACAGAACAAAAACTAAAACTACAAAAATATGACTTTCAATTGTGAAAATAGATACGTTTCCATTTATTAAGAGCTGGTGTCAATGCAGCTAAGATACACACCCATTCAGAAAATGCACCTGCCCCCTTTCCTTTTTTTTTAATTTACTAAAATACATGTTTACATCATTGAACCATTTAAAAATTGTTTTAATTCTTCATTTCCCTTAATTACAATTAATTGTGGAGGTGACCATCATTCTCCTCAAAGAAAAAGAGAGAAAGAAGAGAAATACGCACGAAGGAGTCTGGCCACATATTTGTTTTGATTTTGCATTGTTTAGATATAGGGAAGGTAGTTGACAATGAAAAAAAAAGAAAAATATATTTTCTTTCTAATAAACAAAAATAATTTAAAATGCTAGAGGCTATACATGACTAGTTTTATATGTTCATTTATAAATGAAATCATTTTCTTTTCCAAAATACATGGAAGCAATATTCAAGGCAGACAAAGAGAAAGAGCCGTCTACTTTATTTTTCTTGCAATTCTTGCTTTATCCTAACGTTTTCACCAGTGATTCAGCATGTAAGAGGAAGAAAAGTCACGTCACCATTTATGAAGTTTGTCAGGCTTTAAAAAAATAGTCTGGTCTCCTGGGAGTCAACATTCATCTTCGACTTCTCTGATTGGTGGAATCAAGCTGCTTGTGGATTTATATTGGTTGATCTGGTTAGCCATGTGGGTACTCATGGGCTTGATTTGAATGTTTCTGGGATAGGCATTATCCGGTTCATCTGTAAACCATTTCTTTTCTGCTAAAGGGCAAAACGAATAGAGAACAAGAAGGAGAGATGAGAAGTTTAATTAGTCCTAGGGTAAAGCCTTTGGACAGTTCATTGAAAAATGCAAAAAGGTAATCGATAGAAGCTGACAGTGAATAATTGCTAAGAGAGACAGAGCAGTGTCCAGAGAACCCCTGTGTCTGAAACATACCTCTGTGGCCTATAGCCAGTGAAGAACCAATGGGTCCTTAGGACCTGGAAGTACCCTGGAGAACTTCAGAGAACTAGACCAGGCACAAAACTCAACTTGGGCAACGTTCCCTGGACTCCTTTAGTGCCCTGGGAAATTTTAGTGAGGATACAATGCTGAATATATCAAAGATTGGGTATGGACATTGCACCTGAGGAAAGCTTTATGCATCCACAAAAGCAGAAGAGACTTTTCCTACTTGTCTTCATTTGTAAGGAATATACTTAAAGCTGTATCTCAACCACACCACTCCCAGGTTTCTTTTGTGGCCAGTGTCGTGGCTTTAAAGTGGCTGTCACAAATTTAGCTGGTCAATGAAAGTGAATATCAAAATAGCAGCTCATATTTTAATAAGATTTTTTTAATTACATAGGGAGAATTTGAAATGGCTTTTCATTCGAGAAAGAAAACTGTGTTGGTATAAAGTTATGAAAAGAATTCCCAGTGACAATATCTTAACCCAAGCTGTCGGCAAGGGAGCTTGATGAAGTTGTGGCATTTCATTTTCACTCTAAGTACAGAAACAGCAGAGAGAGAATGCTTAGTTAGAGCATTTGGGGATTGGGGTGAGAATGGAAATGACCTGGCATCTTCTTAGTCATTTAATGCTATTTCACCAGGCTTAGCCTTTATCCCGCCTCTTTCTAGAATTGTATTTTTTTCTGCGAAATCAGCCATGCACATAGCTACAAAGGGTTAGGACAAATAGGACACACCAAATTGGGAATCATATGCCTTATTTTCGTGGTTAAGCAAAGGAAAATGGATAAAGGGAGGAAGCTTTCACTGAAACCCACTGCTAAAGAGACTATGGTTTCTCCACCTTCCCTTTAATCAGAACAGTTCATAACTGCCTTGTCAGTTGTATGTTAACATGAATTCCTTGCTTGGCCTGATCAAGGAGTGTTCTTTGTGAGTGCATATGTGTGCGTGTGTGTGTGTGTGTGTGTGTATGTGTGTGTGTGTGCCATTTTGCTAGTGATTTATAAATTCAGCATCCACACTTAGCTTATAATCACTTTCCTTATTTTTCTCCTTGGTCCAGACTTGCTTTTGCCATTTCAAGTGCTTCTTAGCTGAGGTGTGCATGGCAAAAGCTCTCTCACTACCCTTTGTTCCACTTACCCCCAGGACACTTACTGTCTCCTGGATTATTATCCAACCCCCTCTCTCCTCTCCGGTTCTCTCACCTATTATAATTAAGTTCACTTTGATTTGAACAGATTGGACGATAGGAATTCATAATGCTACATCCTCACAGTGGAGCTAACTGATTAAGTGCTTTAAATTATTCCCCCTGACAGAATGATAAAGTTACAATCTGTTCTGAGATGATCTACAGCTTGCCAGACTCCTACAGCTTCTTTCTACATTCATTTATCTTTTTGTCAAGCAGAGTTTTTTTTTCCTAAGCTTCAATTCCATAGATCTTTTAAAGTCATCAGCACATCTGAATTATTAATGAGGCTTTCGAGGCGAGGTTCCTGATGGGCTGGTTAAAAAAGGTTGTATAGAAATCTGGGACTGTGTACACATCAAAATAATTTCAGCTCCATTTAAAAAACCATTTAGTTCAAATGTGACATAGATGAACCATTATGCATTTGTAGAAACCAATTTTTTTGTGTGATCTACGATTAAACTAACCTTCAGAGAGGAGTAAAATGTGATGGTTATCATGTTTTAAAAGCACTGCCAGGCCGCTGAAACAATTTCAAACTATGACTTTTTCCAATGGTTTATGTGTAAAGACAATTTTCAGAAGAGCTGATTCCAGTATCTGTGCTGTTTCCCCAAGCCACCCTTGGTTTGAGCTTTGCCATTATCTGGACTGAGTTTGCAACGGGATTTAGTGTTAGGTTGGACATGCTGGGTTGGAAGGGAGAGTGAACTCTGCAGACGGAAACAAGTAGGTCTTTTGGGTGAAAGACCTAAGACGGCAGCAATTTGCTGAAATTTTTACAACTGCTGCAGAGAATAATTGTCCAGAATTTAGTCTTTACAGTTCAATTCAAAGTTGACATTTTGACCTTTCATGGCAGAGAGAATATCAATTTCCTTCTGTCTGTAAAGCAGAGAGTATTATTTCACCATATACGTTCTTTCTCTCCTTTTAAGTTTCTTGCCATTAAAAAAAGCTCAAACAGAGAAATCCCTGTGCTTTAACCATTTGTATTTCAATACAGGAAGGAGTTGTATTAAAGCACATTTGGAAGACAGGTTGGGTTTGTGTTGTGCCTGGGAATTTTTTTTTTTTTTGGTGGGAGTGCGAGTAGAGGTACTTTGTAAGTCTACGTGTTGTTGGAAATTTACTCAACAGAGGACTTTTGAAGAACTGAAAATGTATTATTACTTCTCTAAGCATTTTCCTCAAATGTCTGGGGCAAAGACGCTTCATAAAGAGATTCTCCTACAGGACTAGGAGGAACAGGCACCTTCTGATTGCCAGCCATTGTGCAAGGGTGCAAAGTGTGCCAAGCGTGATAGTGATACTGTACTTTGTGGAGTGTTGCCTTCCAAAGAAGACACTGTGCCAATGATTGGATGCAAAATTGGCCCTAAGGGTGAGTTCAAAAAGGAAGTGGGATGATTGTTAAAGGTAAGTCCAAATCCCTGAGTTTATACCCCTCTCAGGGCCTCATCCCACAGGCCAGAGCGCTTTCCTGAAGTGACTGAAATGATGGCCATCCTGGAAATGACAAGGACAGTGGATGTGGTGATGAGGCTTCAGCAGTGCCAGAGAACAACTGAATCGTCCCATTTGCCCATAACATGCATCATGCCTTCACTGTATGTGATTGTTAGGAGTTTCCTTTGCATGTCAGCGTATTGAGTGGAATTGAGCAGTCTGTGGCAAATAGGTGAGTGGAATTAGAAAAAAGTAACTGGAAAGTAACTGCAGAGACAGACAGGTGAAATTGCTGGCACCACCCTTGGAGTTGTCATCCAGCAAGGCCAGCCACACCAGCATAGGGATTGCTTCAACTACCCCAAACAAGCAATGAGATGTAGACCAAGGAGAGGTCATAGGTTAGGAGCCAGTGAACTGGCTTTCTAACATAACATGTTGCATAAATCTGAGCAAATCATCACAGGATTTACCTTACTTTGAGTTTCTCTTCTGTAAAAAGGAGCTAATGTTAAGAGCGTCCTAACATTCTTCGGATACAAGTGCCTAGAGTACACTTAGTGGGCACAATATATATTAAGTAAACGGAGGTGTTAAGGCTATTCCTATTAGCTTGCTTTGCTGGCATTACAGCATCCTGACAAAGCCCATAGTCTTTGCTTTTCAATTTTGTGCCGCCAAATTCCTTGCTGCCTGACTTTGAACAAATCTGTCCTTCAAATGCTGTATCTTTCAAATGGAGATATTAAAGCATCTAAATCTGAGGTGGTCGTGAGGCTTGAATGAGGTAATATATGTAAAGTGCTCAGAGGAGTGGTCTTTGCTATGCATTAAGTGGTTTGCTTTTAGTAGAAGGTTAGCATTAACGAGTACTCTCAGTACTAAAGGACTGAGTATGGATGGATGGTACCTCTTTGTGTGATTGCAAATGAGCTGGGGGCTGGAGAAGTGAGGTGTATAAATTGGGTGTTTACTTGAATTATGGGGACTGTGACAGCAGTGATGACAGGGGAGAGTTTATTTTGGTAGTATTCATTTGGAAGGTGAGAAGAGGAAGAGGAGGCCAAGGGCTACCTTCACGTTGGCTCATGACTTTCACCTGACAGTCATCCTGCTCAACCTGCAAACCATCTCACCTGCTTCTTCTACTGTGACTTCCTTATGGAGCTCAAAGGAACCCAAATCATAGTTAGGACTCCTTTAGCCACCAAGCACCTTGGGAGTAGACTAGGGTGAGGGAGCTGGGCTGACGCAGTTGGTGCCCGAATCAGAGAAAGAAACAGGCTGCAATGCGAAAAGGAATCTCTTTGCTGGCTTTGTGAGCTGACAGTGCTAGGGGATTTATAGCCTTTTCACATAGCTTCTCCCCAGAGAAGACTGCATTAGAGGGGAGATGATGATATAGCAAAAGCCTTTGGGATAATTGGCCCTCTTTTCACTGTACCTGGAGCTAAGGTTTAGGGAGAAAAAGATGGAAAGGGAAAAAATTTCACTCGTAGCATGGTATAGGTGAGAAGACCAAGAGGGTTACCCAGATGTTCCAGCATCAAAGGGAAAGGTGTATGACTTTCCAGCTCACTTTTTTTTGAGAGGTGGGTTAGTATTTGCCCTCTGCTTCCAGAGATCCAAGTTCCCCAGTGGGGCCAACTGCCCACAATGTCTTTGCTTCACTCTGTGGCCAGAATGTAACTATTTCAGAGAAATAGAAACCATTTGCTCCAGAGCCAGAGAAGTTTCTTCTCATGAAAATAATCTTACATTTTTGCAAATGCCCACCATGACTCTCTTTGCTTCCTTAACTGAAAGGCTAATGCACTGGGTAGAACAAAGTTGCCCTGCTCAGCCCACTTCTATAGTCCTATGGCCAATGCACATCAGAGGGGGGACTTTTCACTCTTCCATCTCAGAGAGAACAATCCCTCTCACCTCCCTGCGCAATTAATGTGCAGCCTCCTGGTGGCAAACAGCCAGTTTAGTGACAGATACAAAAGGACCGACTTTGAAAAAAAACTTATTATGAAAAAGCAGGGGTGAGTTGAAAGAAGCTGATTGAGACATTGATTTTTATCCTGTCTGACTTCCACAGGCCCTTCAGTTTCCACACTCTCCTCTTTTCTCTTCCAGGATCTTGTTGCTATAGGAACCTGGCAGGTGGATTTAATTGTCTCTATTGGGATGCAAACACCTTTAGGCTTTCCCCATGCTGAAAAAGAGTAAGTCAAAGGTATTTTCTGGTCATCTGGGATCTTAACAATGCGGCAGGAGGTGCAGTCGATCTATTTACTTACCAAACTTATTGGACTTCCCCTTTCTCGGAAGCTATGTACCCTATGCACTCTGCTCAAGAGTAGCCAACAGCCTGGCAGCTATGCCAACCTCCTCCAGGCATTGTATGTTTGTTTTAAAGATAAGCCAAGGAGGCAAAGACCATAGATAAAACAATAAAAGATAGAAGCATGTTGAAGGTCACTTTAATTCTCAAATGTTTTTTGTACCTATTATGAGCAAGGATCTGGGTTGTGACCTTTAGTATTTATAACAACTTGAGAATTCTCCCACACTAGCTCTATGGTCAAGGCGCAGTTTTCTCTGTCCTGTGCAACTGACTGCAAAAAAAGCATTTACTGGGGAGGTTGATGGTGTGGTCATCTAGGAGCACTGGGGCTGAGGTGTCACTATGACTTCGCTGCCTTCGGGGATGGCTGGTCTTTTCAAAATTTAAAGCAAATTGTATTGTATAGCTTAGAAATTGCTTCTCTTCAAAAATGGTGTAGATAATTGAGTTTGGGGGGGGGAGGTACTTTTTAAATGCACATACTTGCTTCTCAAATGGACTCTTTTCACTCTCTACCCTTACCTACTTGTCCACACCCCCCTCCTTTTCTTTTTTCAAAGTAAGGGGAGAGGGGAAAACATGAATATTCAGCATGTCTCCCTCTGGAGAGAACCTGAAAGGAAGTTTAGAATCACCTGGAAAACAATGGAGAAGATGCTCTGGAGAAGGGCTCTTCAGAAATTGAGGAAAGCATAACAGTCATTTTGGCTAACAAAGTCATAATGATACCTTCCCCATCATTGAATATATCATTACTCAAGTGCAGTCAAGTCTCAATTATGTGCTTAGAGCTTAGAGCTTAGGGAAAATCCCAAAATTTCATCTCATGTCACAGACTATTCCCACTCCATTTCCACCACAATGTTGTCTCATAGAGCTGCAGACAGCTGTTTATAGAACACGTTTTAGATCGACTTCTCTCTATCTGCCCAGTCTCTGGTTAGGATTTAACTACTGTCCAAAAGGCAGTAGCAGGAGAGACCTGGATAACACTGAGACTGAAATGTCAGCCCCCAGGTAATGGGGTGGAGGCTATTGAGTTTATACAGACAGCCGAAGCGTTTGAATTTAGGTTCTTCCTGATCAAACATAAAGGAAACCAATGCTTTTGCTATCAATAACCCTCCTGATTTAGAACAAAAGGAGGATAAAATTTTAAACAAGTAGGATTGCCAAATAGAATAACTGCGAATGTTTTCCAGAAAAGTTTATCACCTGGCACCATCACTGGATTTAGTGGATCTTGCCAAGGTAAACACAGAGAGGTGGACAGACTGGTGGGCACCAGGTTGGGGTGGTGGTAATGGGGGGAAGTGGAGGAAGCTGGGTGTCTTGATGGGGAAATGCTTTTGGACTTGGAGCAAATACCAAGGTGGGCGGGGAGGCCACGTGCAGATTGAAAGGCAAGCCAGATGGAGAGAAGTTCCCCCCAAATTACCCAACCCCAAAACCAGAAACACCAAAACAAACTCTAAGGGATCTAGCAGTAGCAGCGGTACAGCCTCATTGCACTGAGCACTTTAGAAAGTCAGGGAGGAGGAGAAGAAGGGAGGGAAAAAGAGGGGAAATGGGGGAGGGAGGGGAAGCAAAACAAAATAAAACCACAAACAGAACAATATAAAGAAAAATAAACAAACCAATAACAGAATAAAATTTGTAACTCCTTTTTTTTTAATTTCACAAAAGTTTTCACAAGGACAACGTCATAGAAGAAAACCCCCAGCAGTGGCTAGGTCATGCAGAACCATGAATTGTCATACCTTGGCCCATTCTATTCATCCTTGTTGCACTTTAGAGAGAGAAGTAAGCTATGTGAGTTTTACAATGCTTTTAAGCTGTCATATTTCCTGTTGAGCACTTTAACTGGCACATTCTCACAGTTATAAATGTTCTGAGGGCATAATTTTATAACCTCTTTTGCAAAGAAGGCACAAAGAACGCTTCATGATCCAGAACTAGGGGATTTGCGTGTGTATCTATAAACATGGGTATGTTTATAGATACACACATATACAGACATGTGTGTCCATCTATATAGTTATAGATAAAAAGATAGCAGGTTATATATCATACATAAATCAATATAGAGGGACAAAAATAATTTGAAAAATCTTCCACGTGTGGGGTTTTACAATACACAGGTATACGATTATTCCCCACCCCACTAAAGGTTTGAACACTGTACTGCCCTGTCTTTGGTGTGGTGGCAGAGCTTCCAACTGAGCCTTGCCGTTTTGTCAGTAAAAGTGCTTGTCAATTCACACAGCAAGCAAATCTCCAAGACTATCATGCTTGAGAGGATAGGGGAATCCAAAATCTAAACTCAAAGCATTCACCATAAAAACACCTTTTTAGAGATGCTAGCTGTGAGAGTTTTCTACTCTCCTCCACCCCTACTCTATCAGATGGAAGTTTTGAAAGTAAACATTTAAAATATGTAGATACCAGCCCAAGTTAGTCCAGCCAGATGAGAATTTGGTTGCGGTGGAGCTGGCTGGTTCCTTAAGAACTCTGCTTTTGCCTAAAGCATGATTTGCATGCATAAAATAGCTGAAACTTCAAAGTGAAATAAGGATACTTTTTTTTTTCTACTTTTCCACTCATGCTTACTATCTGTTAAAAGAAAGACAACCAGAGTAAAAAATGGTTATACCAAGAAGTATGTGGCTCACTGTTGTACTTGTCTTCTCCCCCATCTCCTAATGACAAGGAGCAATTTTCTGTTATTGTCGTGGACATGTCCGTGTGAGTTGGCTACGTTCAAGAAATTGATGATGAAGAAATCTTCCCTCCAGCATCTTGCCCTGGGATAGCTATCATTGTGCAGCTGTGCCCACAGTTTGAGGTGGTAGCTGGCTTTTGCCTTTGTTGAGTCAACTGTAGTTGATCCTCCTACATTCTGATTTATCGAGCATGTCGGCTCCTAGAAAAACATGATCTGCTTCTGAGTTTATCTGCCTCTCACTCTACCAAGGCTCCAGCCCTTGCTCATACCTGGCACTGGGGCTCTAGCTAATCAAACAAAGGGGAGTAAAAGGTCCCCTGAGAATGTGTGGAAAAATACTTGCTCTTTCCTGAGCATTATTTATTCTGTACATAAGGTAAGTAATTCACCTTTTAAAAGATGTAAAAGTCCCAGGAAGGCAGTTTTTAATGACTTACATCTGATATTTATGATACATATGGCTTTTCATCCCAAATGTCAAAAGTGAAAGAAAAAAACAGCTATTCATATGGCAGTGTAAGAAGACAGAATAACAATTTAATATGCAATCAAAATCCTTTTCACTAAAATTAAATGACTAGAATTTGATACATCCACGAACGGAATACTATTCCTACCTCAGTAAGGTTAAAAATGTTTATCTCAACTCCCAAAGGAAGCCAGCTCTGGAAAAAGGCCTTGGCGAATAACTAGAAAAATCTCCAATGGTCTCTTATAACAAGGAGGTGCTTAATAATCTTGTACACAAACAGTGAAAGCCTTTCAAAGACTTCAAGGTATTTTTGCCCAGAGAGTGGAGACAATCAATACATTTTTGTTGCTTTTTGGTTGCTTGTTTCAAATCAATGTGTGCTAACAATGTGTGCCAACACATTGTGTGTGTGTGTGTGTGTGTGTGTTAAAGAGAGAAAGAAAAAAACAAAAATATCAAAACCCAAATCATCTTGACGTCCTGACAAATTAGAATACACTTTTCTTCTACATTAACTAAACTTTGCTTTGCATAACTGACATTGATCGCCAAGTGCTTCCTTCTGATCCTTGAACTCTATTCCTGCAGTGAGCTATTTACGTGTGGAGCATGCCTTTGGGTTTTTTCCCCCTACAATCATAAATATCTTTTGGTCCGTCTGCTTATTTGCTGTTGTGCTCAAGGGTTTTATGGTGGTGAAATAAAAATGACAACCACATGCACACTATCATACATATGCAAATATGTGTAAAAAAAAGGGGGGGGGGGGGAACTACAGGGGAAAACAGGGAAAGTTACTGTTGGAAACACCCACTGGGAAAATGAGTGGCAGATACAGTTTCACACGGTGGTAGTGGATACACATATCAGAGCCGCTCTTCCTGCACGTACTTCTGTTTTTCTCGGGACTCCCGGGACTTGGGCCGGTTCTGTCTGTTTGCTGTGGACGGGATGGAGTGAACGGAAGAACTCTTCTTGCTGGAGGACTGGGATGAGTGGGAGGAATGGGAGAGGCTTGCCCGGGACTGGCCGGCGTTGTGGTCAAACTGCATTAAGCAGAAGATCAGGTCCGTCGGCACGAGCTCAAACTCATAAGGGGGGTTGGTGATGACATACCTGAATGGGGAAAGCAAAGAGATCACAAGCTGAAAATAACCAGGGAGATTGCACCTGTACTTGAAACAGAACTGCCCCCCTCCTCCCATCTATTAGAGCCATAGTTCTCAAAGTTGAACAAATTAAACATCATGGAAGCCTGGGTGCCCCCCACCCTTGCCCCTGATGTGTGCAGGGATTATACATATGTAGCTGTCATGGTTGTGGTCTGGCTCTCGATCATGAAAGACATTAGAATTCTAGAAGCTCTACAAGTGATTCAAATAGTGGAGAGAAGTTGACACTGGTGATGAAATAGGTATTGGAAAGCTGTATACCTGAAACTCAACTATTAATAATCTTGTAAATCACAGTGCCTCGATTAAAAAAAAAATCAAATTAAAAAAAAAGAATTCCTGTATTAAAGGATCTAGAAAATGTATTTCCAGCTGATCTAAATTTTAAAGTTACCTAGCAAAATGAACTAGATCTTTTTCTGTTTAATACACAAAGATTCATCATGCAGATATGAGCACTGGCAAAGAAGCTGAATTTATGCCATGAGACTCCATCTACTATTTTGCTCTTCATGCCCCTTTCCATACAATGTTGGGTTCACTTCTTATGCCTAATAGCCCAGCTGCATGTAGGAGCTTTCATTCAACTTGCACTGAGACTTTCATTCTAAAATGTTTGTGACTCATATCACAGGATATTCTTGGAACTGTGGAGGTTGGGCCACACATAGCAATGTTCAGGTCTTACTCCTGGCTCTGAGCTCAGGAGTAACTCCTGACTTTGCACATGATCTGGGGACCATATATAGCTCTGGGCGTTGTCTAAGATTACTGTATGCAAGGCAAGCATCTTACTTCTATACTATCTCTCTAGCCCTATCCTATAGGATCTTTATTGATAATGTGAGAGTACTTTGTGAGTCTTCATCCTTTATCCTTTAAAAGTCAAACGATGAAGGTTTTACTAAATAAAATAAATATAATAGATCTCCCTATTTATCACTCCTCCTTAAACTATTTCTAGTTTGACCATGGTTCTCTAAAACCAGAGGGAGCTTTAAAAATATATTTTCACCTATAGGACTACATCACAAGAGTTGTTCCCCAGGCTAAAGACTTCAGTGTCACCTGGGAACTACTTATAAATACAAATTCTTGGTGCTGTGGGTAGGGGACTTGCCTTGCTTGTGGCTGACCTGAAATGAATCCTCACTACTATGTTCCCCTGAGCCCTGCCAGGAGTGATTCCTGAGCACAGAGACAGGAGTGAGCCCTGAGTATTAGGCATAGACCAGAAAAAAAAAAAGCCAATTTTTAGGAAACTCCACTCCAGACTTACTTAATCAGAAGCTCTAGCTGTAGCATTTTACCAGCTTTGTAGTTGATTCTCCTGCTCACGAAACTTTGAGAAGCCCATTTTCCTGTCCTGTAATTATTTTAAACTCTGGCTCTATACAGTAAGCTCTGTGCACTTATATATTAATTATTTATTCAATACAGCTCAGTTAAGTCAAAGTAATCAGAGTATAATTAAAAAGCATCTCCAGAAATTCTGAAATGCAAGTTAGGCTGAGAAACACTCATTCTCTATAGAAGCATTTGTCAACAGGGCTGGGGGGAGAGGGGAGAATATTCCAAGGAAGTCAAAGGTGAAAATCACATAAGTGGGGTCAAAACACATGACAAGGAGACCAACTGGTAGGAAGGAGAGACACAGGCCGGGAACAAGGTCAAAAAGGGGCACACACTACGGGTAAATGTTTGAGAAATCTTGCTTTATAACACTGTCATAACTGCTTTTGTTCTTCAGGTAGTAATATTTAGTTCTCTTAAAAATAAATATATATAGGCCAGAGAAATAGTCTAGTTGGTAAGATACAAGCCTTGCACTTAGCTAACTCAGGTTGACCCCTGGGTTAGCTATGCACAGTATCTTGAGCACCACACCACCAGAAGTGATCCCTGAACCCAGAGCCAGAAGTAAACTGCACTCTGAGTGTGACCCAGAAAACAAAGAGAGAAGTCTAAGATATGGAAGGAGCCATTTATCTTAAACATGAGGAATACAGAAACCCCCCACGTTAGGTACAGACTGAATCAGCCCACTTGCTAGAAATCTGGGGAAGATGCTTCTATTCAGACTTGAGCAACTGGATGATGGAACTACTCTTTAAAATTTGAATTCTTCATCTAATGTCTTTGCATCTGCTATTAAATATAAAAGGGGGGAAACTTCCTTTAATCTCCAAGCCCAGTGTTGGATTTAAAAATGGGCAGAACTTGTACTGAGAGCTTAGAGACAGCCTCTGCATTCACACTGCGGGAAAGGGGACGCATTTCTGTCTACACCCAGAGTGGGCAAATGACAACAGCAGGGAATGATACTTACCTCTTTGTACATTGACTGGGGGTGCTGAGGTGAGCATCTCTCAGCCGGTAAATTCCAAAGCAAAGCATATTGTATGTTTTCAGAGCTTTGCAGAACAGATCACCATAACAACCACCATCCTGAGAGACAGCAAAAGAACAGAGAGAAGCATCACATTTATTTATCTGCAAGCCGAGGTCCAGAGGGAGAAGAGACTTTTTACAAAAGTTGGTTTGGTGTCTTCTGAGCAGGTAGGTTTGAGCTGAAGGACTGTGGCTAAATGTGGTTATCAGATGACACCTCACTTTGGTGGTTTTAGGGATCAACGGATCAAGGGATTTTCTTCTGGTTGCTCCTCAGTTGCTCTGTCTGTAATAATGAGAGCACTAGGAGCTGGTGATTCCTTGGTTTAAGGAAGGCATAAAGTCTAAAGGGCTTGGAAGTACATTCATCTGGGAAGAACCGGGTCTACAAAATGGCCATAAAGTCTCGCCCCCGCTCGGCTGTAATCACCCTGCTCTGACTGTGTTGTCAGGCTGCTCGAGTGATAATTAAAATCACGGCAAGGAGAAAAGACCCTACCAGGTACTACGGTGACAGACTCTTTCAGGTAAGGACTGTGTGAAAAGCACAATTTACAGACCTCAGAGAAGGCAGGAGAGGAAGAGAATGTGTTTCCCTAGTTGCTGGAGGTCTGCAGGCTCAATAACTGGGATTCGCAGTTCTAATCAGTTCACAGTCACCTTTCAGGGCCTGGGCCTAATGTGGAATGTGAAAGCAAATCCACTCAATGGGAAACGGTAGCTCCTGTGGCCAGCTGCAGCCAACAGGGCCACTGAGAAATGACTTCACTCATTTGGTCTTTCTGTCACTGGAATTTCCATATAGCTATCATCCAAGAGGACACTCCTGCTGTTTTGTTTTGTTTTGTTTTGTTTTTTAAAAAAACACTATCCTTTTTTCATCTGAGGGAACATTCTTACCTTTTCTTTTTTAACACTTTATCCTTTTAAAGTATGTAAGTAAATCATAAAAAATAATAAAAGAGAAATGAGAGCTGTTGCTCAAAACAAGTCCACTCTAACACAGGTCCCTGTGTTTAAACAAAGTAAAATAAGGGATAAGAAAACAACAAGATTTAGGGGAAAATGAAGTAGAGGTGATCTTCTTGGTCCCTTTCCCACTAATATGAAAATAAATGGACTTTCTGAGTGACACCATGTATTGGGTGTATGTAGTAGGTCTTGGTTCTTAGCATTTATAGCTTTCAATGCATGCATGGGGTTGGGTTTAAAGAAGGACCAGGACTGCATTCTTCTGCCAAAGCATCTGAATGAGGGTAGTGCTGGAACTCATTGAGAAGTATTGGTGCCTGGCTGCAGGCAGAGCATGGGAAGTGATGCTGTTGGGTTTCAGAAATGCGAAGATCTTCGTATGAAATTAGAGGCTCTCAAATATCTGCTTGTGACATTGTTTGACTATGGGTTCTTAAAAAAACCCCAAGTGCTTACTTATGATAAGATCAAAATTCAGAATTTCCTGGTCAGGCATGGGTATCAGTGGTCTTTGAAAGCTTCTCATGGGCTGTTAGGGCACAGTGGAAGTCAAGTTTCTCTAGAAAGAATTCTTGGTTGCATGTTGGAATCACCACTGCCTCCTGATTCTTCAAAGAAGACATTTGAGGGACGTGAACAAGTCCGCAAGCCCAAGTCAAGGTTCCATGTGAGTATTCCTGATAGGGCCAGTCCTCAATTTCTCTGAGCCTTGATGTCTTAGCATCTAAGCTAATAGATGTTCACTGCAGGTTATCATGAGGATTCAAATGCAGGAGGATGGAGCCAGAGTATAGCAGGTAGAGCATTTGCCTTGCATGCAGCTGACCTGGGTTCGATCCCCAGCAATTTCTATTGGCTCCTGAGCCACCCAGAAATGATCCCTGAGCACTGCTGGGTGAGGCCCTCAAAAACCAAAAATGCATCACTTGGTGTAAAGCACAGTGTGTGGTACACAATAAACTAGAAACATCACCTATTTCTAGTGCCATTGAAAGCAGAAAAGACAAAGGCCTCTGGCTGCTGTCTGACACCAGTCCGTGTAGATCCCGTCATTCCTGGGCAGCAGGCTCATGACCTCTGTGCTGTGAACTCACCCCTAAGTCGGCAAAGGGGCCATCCAGCAGGGCTAACTGGGCCACGCGGCAGCGGTCCCTGTTGGCCAGTGTCTGGGGGGTACTGTAACCCCCTCGAAGAGCGTTCTCCTCAGCAATCAGAGCCTCAAGCTCCGGCGTGGCCCCACCTGTCACCAGCGTTCGGATCAGAGTAAGGATATTGTCATTGAAGTATGTCTGCAAAGAGAAGGCGGGAGTCCTTTAAGCAAACACCCCAAAGTCACGACAACCGACATCCAAATTACAACTTTCCTTGGTATCTCCTGTTTGAAGCTCTGGCCTGTCTCTTCAAATAATTTTATGTGGGAAGTGAAAAGACAGCAGCCTCCAATTATTCCATTCTTTTCTCTCCTACTTGGTTCTGCCATAAGAACCTGACTTTTTAAAACCAATTTCGGGGATTTTTATTAAAGGGCTAAAGTCTAAATGACTGGTGTGTGAGCAGTGGTGTAATTCTGCTTCCTCTTCTCGAGTCCCATGGCTAATGGACACTGGACATGTGTGATGGAATGCAGCCAGGCTGGAGCCCAAGCTGGCTTGCTTCTGAGGTCTATCTCCTGAGTTCCCAGAAACTACCTCCCCCAGCAATAACAATATCCCTCTGTTGGAGTGAGATGCTCACGGCAGCATGAAAGCCACAAGTGCAACGATTTATCACATGCTTTGATAACAGCCTAACTCAGACTTTAGTTAATCAATTAAATTGGCAGATGGATTCAGTGTGGTGAATATCCTCCTCTGTGTCTTTTCGTTTGGTTCGGTTTTACTTTTTTTTTCCTTTTTTTTAAGCATAGTAGTCTGTGGGCAATATAACCTAATATAGAAGTTTCTCTTTGTGTATATTTGTCTCACATCTGAAATATAACAGGTCTGTCAGGAACCAAACAATGGGAGTTTAAAACAAATTAATAGGGTGTCAAGTAAAGGAGTTCAAGAAGACATTTGTCACCCCGCCTAATTTGAGAAAATCTCTGTTAAGGGTTTGCAATCCATTTTCCAGTGTAAGAAGAAAGCAAACCAGCTAAATAAAATCAAACCAAAGTTTGCCTGTGGCTTTTTGAGGATGTATGTGCCTTTGGGAGCAGGTTAGGAAAGCCAGCAACATTTTTATTTTTACTTCAATTCCTTCTTATACAGCTTGTCTGACCAAACATAGTAGGGAACAAACCAGGTAAATTTGGGTTTTCTCCTGCTTTGCCAATACTGGTTTTGTGCCTTGCAGGTGGCTGCCTAATCAGACAGGGCTTTACTTTTCTCAGCCCTACAAATAAACCATAGGTAAGACCCAGTTTATATGCAAATAATCCCATGAGAACTTCTAACTGCAAATGTGAACTGGATTTACCTTCCTCATTGAAGCACTACAAAAACAAAAAAGACAAAGTGACCAAAAATTTCCCACAGTAAACTGAGAATGCTACTCAGAACTTGCTGACCTTACCAAGGAGAACCTATTCTCCACCAAAGTCAGATTGCTCTAGGGCAGAGACAGAACAAAGACAGAGAAGAAAAGGGTTACGACTTAAGGATCAGACTGGTTAAATGATGATTTGTGACTCAGTAACAACAGGACCTTAGAAACTTATTTAATATTCAGTGAGTCCTTGAGGTCTTTGGGACTTTTACAAAGTGGATATTGGTGATAGGTATAACATTGGAAATATATGTGTATGACAAACCACCATAAATAATATTATTAATCAAAACCAATAATAATAATTGATCAAATAAAATTTCAGTGCCTTGGTTTCATAATCTGTGAAATATAACAACAGATTAGATGTAAGAGTAAAATTACTTAATACAGGTGAAATAGGGTATCGGGCTGGAGCAATAGATCAGTAGGTAGGGCACATGCCTTGTGCATAGCCCACCTGGGTTCAAATCCCCACCATCAAATATAGTTGTTGAGAAATCCAGGAGCCATCCCTGAGAATAGAGTTAGGAATAAGACCTAAGCACTGCTGGGTGTGGCCCAAAAACCCAATCGAAAAATCAAAAGACAAGTGAGGCATCTACTCTAAGCTAGGTAGACAGCAGGATATTCATAACCTTACAGACTGAAAAAGAGAACTCTCCTGGTTTAAAAAAGATAAATATCCAATGTAATTATTTTTAAAAAGGAAACCATGGTGGTGTTCATGATATAAAGGAAAGCAACTAACAAAGCAGGCATAAGTGGTAGTTTTCGCAACCTAATAAAAGCCATCTATGTACAACAAACAGCTAAATAAGATGTAATGATGACAGATTGGCTGCTTTCCCCTTAAGAGCGGGAACAAGATGATGAAGTTACCACCTCCTTTCAACTTCATATTACAGGCCCTACTGGGGGTAGAGAGAAAGAAAAGCCATCAATATCAGAAGGGAAGGAGTAAAAAATCTTCATTCACAGCGGACAAGATCATGAATATAAAAATTATGACCAAGCAAAAAAACGACTGCTAAGTTCAATTATTTCAGCAAAGTAACAGGCTACAAAATCAATATACAAAAATCACTTGAGCATGTAAAATAAGCAATAAAAGAAAGAAATTATGAAAACAGTTTTACTTATAATAGCAATACAAATATTAAATTATTTAGAAATAAATCAGTAAGGTACAAAATTACTACTAAAAGCTACAAAATCTTTTCTGTAATTAAAGAAAACAGAAAGAACTGGAAATATATCCCATGTTCATGGATTGGAAAATTCTGTGTTATTAGGATGGAACTATGTCACCAAATATCAGGAGACATAAATATATCGGCTAAAATTATAAAAGTAAGTAAAAGTAAGGCCCTCCCGTTGATCATCGATTTGCTCGAGCGGGCCCAGTAACGTCTCCATTGGAGACTTTGTTGTTACTGTGTCTGGCATATCGAATACTCTCGGTAGCTTGCCAGGCTCTCCGAGAGGGGCGGAGGAATCGAACTCGGGTCGGCCATGTTGGCTGCGTGCAAGGCAGACGCCCTACCCGCTGTGCTATCGCTCCAGCTGTAGAAAATACATGGGAGTAAATCATGAATTCAATATCAAATTCTCAGATGTCACCTAAAGTATAAGCAAAATAAGAACATACAGGTAAATTGAACTTCATCAAAATTAAATTTTTGTGTATTAAGTGTTTATCCAAAAAGTTACAAGAAAACCCAGAGAGAAAGAAAATAAATGCAAAATACATGTCTGATAAGAATCTAGTATATATTAAATAATATTACTAGGTAAAGGTAAGGTAAAGGCCCTCCCGTTGTTCATCGATTTGCTCAAGCGGGCCCAGTAACATCTCCATTGGAGACTTTGTTGTTACTGTGTTTGACATATCGAATACGTCACGGGGAGCTTGCCAGGCTCTGCCATGCGGGCGAGATACTCTCAGTAGCTTGCCGGGCTCTCCGAGAGGGGCGGAGGAATCAAACTCGGGTCGGCCATGTTGGCTGCGTGCAAGTCAAACGCCCTACCGCTGTGCTATCTCAAATAATATTTCTACTCAAGCATAATTTTTAATGGACAGAAGAGTTGAATAAACATTTATTCAGAAAAATATATACACATGGACAGCAAACAAAAAGATGCTCCACATCAGTAGTCAGGGAAATGCAAATAAAAACCACAACAAGATGCCATTTTGTAGGATAACACTAAGCCTCAGGTAGTTTAGGTTTATTGGGATGGTCCTATCACAGTACTCCCATTCATTTGTGTTTATTTGTAACTTCTTTCTTTGTGTTCTGTTGACTTGTAAATATTGTTTTTCTCTTCTCCCTAAGTCCTTTGCATAGTTTATTCAGAGCAAGGTCCTTTTTGTATGGACGCAAGAAGACAGTATATGCTATGCTTTTGTAACATGACTCTCAGTGATATTTTCCTCCTGGGCATCAGTCCTCTAGACCTAAGACTCAGCTGCCCTTACTTCCTAATGCCCCCAAAAGCAGGATCCCGATGAGGGACTGGATGGAACCAGAGCAAGCGGTAAGCTATGTGCTACCCTGGCATCGAGATGGGCCTGGCAAAAGCGCAATAATGCTTAACTATAACTTAAGAGCTTGGTCACGGACAAATGCTGTCATGATCTAAAAAGTAATAACTACATTTGAACCCTGCTAGGGTAAGAAATGATTAATCTGGCCTATAGTCTGAGTCCATGGCAAGATGTTCCCTGGAGAGCTGCCCTACAAACCTCAATGTTATCTCTTGCTGTGTCCATACAAAAATAACTAGTATTAAGATGTTGATAGAGTTATTGGACTGATGAAAGGAGAAAAACACCTTAGGAGTTATTTTGCCCTTGGGCAGTCTGGATGGGCTTTGGAATACCTTTTAGGTGGTGTTCCCTTTGAACTTGGTGGGCGCTCAGGGTTTTCTTATGTTGATTTGGCTACCAGACTGGGTGCAGTGTCAGCCCAGAACGCTGGGGGAGTTGAAGAGGCAAGAGAGTTGGAGATGAGAGAGAGAGCAGGGCAGCATGATGGAGTGTGGAGAGACTAGCAAGAGGGACAGAGAGAGAAGGATGTAGAAGAATACAGAAGCAGGCATGTGAAAAGAGAGAGAGAGAGAGAGCCCAGGCTGCCAGAGGGAGTGCCGAGAGATGAGCGGGAGAGACAGGAGAAGGAAATGAGGGGCAGTGTGAGATTAGAATGGGAGATTCAGAAAGAATGGGGTAGGCAGTGGAGAGAGTGGAATAAATGGCAACTGATTGATCAACCAGCTTGGCCCTCATCTCCTCCACCATCTGCCCTATGGCCCAGGTTGCCCCGGCTGGACAAGTGGCTCCAGGCCCACCCTGAATCACAGGCGGCTAGGGGTAGAGCCGCCAGAGCCTCTCCCTGGCCGCCCCTTGGAGATTTTATACACCATTTCATGTTCACTGGAATAACTGTAATATAAAAAGTGATAATAAGGGCCTATGATGATAGTGTAGCAGGTAACACAAGGGCGTTTGCCTTACGCAGGGCAGGCTGGCCCAGCCGAGTCAATTCCTCCACAATTCCTCTGACCCTCTTAGAGAGCCCAGCAAGCTACTGAGAGTATCTCGCCCACACGGCAAAGCCTGGCAAGCTACCTGTGAAGTATTCGATATGCCAAAACACAGTAACTACGAGTCTCACAATGGAGATGTTACTGGGCCCGCTTGAGCAAACCGATGAACAACGGGAGGACAGTGTTACAGATCTGGATTCAAACTCCAGCACCC